TTGATGATTGTTCAGTAGGTGTGTACTTTAGACTTGCTTTTGGATCTTTCCTCTGATGTTCTATAGATGTTTAGTAAGGTACAGCCCTTCACTGAGCTTTCCCTCTACAAAGAAATATTCTTGTTTATTATTTTCGATAATATTATGTGTAGATAATAATTATTATCCTCCATTCTGACTTGAACTTTAAAATGTGTATGCTTTCTTTATGCTTTCTTGTTTTGTTGCTCATTCAGCAGTTAGAGAAGGGGCAGATGCTGTGAAGATATTTCACTGTAAAGTGATAGCTTAAACCAGCTTGTGATCATGTTTCTTAGCTACTTGATCTTGTTCTTCAAATACGGAGTCATTAGTCACTAATGTTTACTGTGTTCAAAAGCTACTGTTAGTAATGTTTGGCAGACTTTCTGATTTTACTCGTCAAAACCCATCTTGGCTGTTTAATTACCTTACTTTCAACAAGAAAATTATCTGTTTTATAAGTGACACATGTGACACATAAGGCCACACACACAAGGCAGTTATCTCGCTGGCTACTGTTGGAAGTCAGACTTTAAGAACCCACTCCTGTGAAGTCCTCATCCACTGAGCGCTGTGAGTCACTGTCTCATGGCACTGGCATGGGGAGGAAGAAAAGAGATTATAGAAGTTTTCTTGCAGGTTACCTGCAGTCAGCCCATTCTTCTGTTCCAACTTGCACAAACCTTATAGTTATAATCCTGATTCTTTCTTGAGATCCTGCCAATCATTCCAGCTTCTGAGGTGATTGCAATGCTGGCAGGTATCCAGAAATAGAAACCAAGGCTTACATTTCTTTTTAATGCTTTCTGAAAAAGAAAAAAAAAAAATAATTAAAAAAACCCCAAACATTTTATGCAATTGACTGCACAAGTCAACTGAACTGACTGTACAAAGTATCTTGGCAAACAAACAAAGGAGAGACATGGCTCAATGTAGCATTACTGCATTCAACCAATCTGGGCATTTTCCTGGCTTAACTGGTTAAGTGGTTTGCAGTTGCATGTAATTACTCAGGTTGTAGGAACACATTTTGTTAGACATAGGTGACTTTCTTAGTTCCTACAAAGAGAATGCAAAATGAGAAAGAGAAGAATTTAATAGACCTTTGTCACTGAGTCATCTGACACTGTATTATTTGCTATGCTCCAATTTAGAGCTAAACAACTGGCGCTAATATCAGGAACCAAATAAAAGACAGAAAGGATCAGAACGGGTTGTTCTGTACAGACAATTAAAATACATTCCAGAGATGGATAACTGTTTACTTTTAGAGCTGGCTGTTTCTTAGAACAGTTCTGGAGAGATACGGGTCTCAAATTAAAACTTAAAGGGTTTTTTTCAGTGAAACTGCTGCTCTGGAAAGACAAGCATCATTGACAACTCTTTTTCTGTTACTTTTTCATTTATTTCCTCATTTCTGTCTGTTTTGGTTTAGATTTTTTTCCTGTGAGTTTTCAAACAGCAATTTATCTATTATTTTATTTTATTTCGTTAACTAAGGTTGGAAGTTGCATAATTAGGGGAGTTTGGTGGGGATTTTTGTTTGGTTTATTTGATATTTAATTATTTAGCAACTGTAAATTGACATAATGGTTTTGAAAGTTTTTCAGTGTAAGCACTTTTATGGACTATGGTAAACTTGCAGGCTAGCTCTGAATTGGCACTTTTGGCAGACTCCCAGCTTACCTTTTAACATCTCATCTGCACTTTAATGGCAGTTGTGCTACTGTTGTTTTAGCTTCTTCTAAATTTCTTTGAAACTTCCATGCACTTTGTATGTGTGATAATAAGAATCTACTGGTATTAAATTCCATTGCGTGAGTAATTAAGCTTATGTCCTCAGCATCTCCAATAGAGTTGTGAAGAAGCTTATAGGCGTCAGTCCTTTGTTGGCTCAATGAAGGTGTCCCAGATGTTTTTCTTCTGTCAAGTAGGATTATATTTTGATAAGTGGTAAGAAAGTTAAATAGACTTGTGCTTTTTACAGGTAGGCTTAAAATTTCCCTGTTGGCCTCTACGGGTAGTCAGAATTTAATATTTAGGCTCTTCCTGTTTTTCTCTTTGCTCAGTTTGTTAATTCTGTTTTTCTACTGTCAAATTACATTTTTATTGCTGTATCTTATAGAAATCTTCAACCAAATAAAGACAGTGGTGAGTATCCTGCCCTTCTCCATTATGTGGTGGCTTGCTGTTAGTGTTTTACTACAGGTGAGATTTCTCTTAGCTTGGGAGTTTCTTGGATTACTGACTGTATCTCCATTCAACTCCATGGCTATCATACAGGTGACATTAAATTAAACTTCAGCAATTTTTGGCCCTAACAGCTGTCTGTTGAGACAGTGGCTGGAAGTGATTGCATCAAAAATAATTATACTTTGATTTCTGTGTCTGAACATCTTGACTTCACAAATACAACTTCTATTCTTCCTCAGCTTAGGAACATCCAAGACAACACTGCATTTGGAAAGTTAAAAGCTACAAGCTTGTTTGCTTCTCCCATCTGCAAGACCCTTATGCTATTGTTGTGCTTGGTCACATTCTACTTGATAATGTTACAGTCTTGTCTTAATGTAAATTCAGACTTCTTTTGATCTTTTTTGTCTTTTGATTGCAACACTTGTAATTCACTGGAGGAGCAGTTTTTGGAAGATGCATGATTTTGGAGCAGGGAGCTTTATTTTGGTAATTTGACTTCTTTGTGAGGCACAGAGCTGCTGCTATCTGTGTGCCTGTACATGATGTTGGACAATTCTTACAAAACACTTTCTAGGGATAGGAAGAGGTGGTTATTTGAGGGGTTAAGTGGTTAGATGTAGGGGATTATGTTGTGGCCAGCCAGATCTTGGTTTGTTTCTGAGCTCATAAAAGGGATGACCTTAAGGAATGATATAATATGTTTTCTGCGCCAAGGAGCATTACATGGATGACCAGCTGAGGACCTACAAGAGCAGCATAACTGACCTGGAGATAGTAAAGTCTGGTGTAGGGGAGATAGGTTGCAAGGAACATTTCTACAGCCAGTATATACTTTGGCTACATAAACTATATCTGATAAAGCTGGTTTATGAGGGAGACAGTGGATGTATGATTAGTGAGGTAAATATCTTTCTTTTACCATGTCAGACTTCTTGTACATGCAGGAACTGCTTTGTAACATGTCAACAATGGAACTGATCTCTAACATGCAGAGTGCATCATCCAGTGCTTCCAAGAAGTGTCTGATTTAGTGCGTAGATGTACAATGATTACACAGACCTTGAGTAGTAAGTCCACTGTGTTCCAGAAATATTTTATTTTTATGCTGTATTATATATATCTTGATAAATATTTGTTAGATAAATGTGGACCAGCACATTCAAAAAATTTGAACAAGCATCAAAAGAAAAAGAAAAGACTGGAGAGGAAAAGAATCCATCTACTGAAATTGGGGTGTTGGGGAGAAAAAAACATGTCTGGGGAAATCCAAGCGTACTGAAGCCTTGGACATGTTCCTAAAAGCTCTTAATATAATGCAGGTTTGGAAAGGTTGTTTAATAATTTAATTTCTGTGAATGCTTCCACCATGTTATGGTGCCTGTGGTTCCAAGGTCTGGGGGCCCACAGGGAGGCATTTCCCTGAAAAAATCCTCAAAATAAGGTGTTGACTTCTCATCCCTCTCTCAGGTGGAATTTGTTGGCATAAAGGATTTTTGCAACAAAACCTGTATCTTTTCATAGGTTGTTGAAGTGAAATTTGTTTACAGAGACTGGCATGGAATGATATTCCTCCATCTGATTTAGAACTTGCCTACACACGTTTTTATTACTTAGCAATTCTACCTATGGAAATTTCACTGATTCTTTTAGGATAGAAGTTCTAATCAGAAAGTGTTCACAAAGAGTCACCTAAGGGCATGTGTTTTGCTTTTGTTTTTCACCTCTTTGCACTCGTACATGCAATGACTTCATTTACTACTGTGTATTTTAAATACATGGCAGATACCTAAAGCCTAGACAGTAATATAAAAATAAAATGGTTCCTGCAATATACGTGGAGTTTTTTTGTCTTTGTTTAATTATTTATACATGATAGAACATTTATTTTATTTTGGGGCTTTATTCATGCAAGGGAGTTATTTTATACATTGACTCTCCAGATACCTTTATAGTTTAGTTTAAGGCAAGTGGCAGGTAAGTGAAATGGTACCTACCATCCTTTGTGTTGGAACATGCAAGAGTCAGCAATGGTATATTTAGAAAATGTGCAGAAGGCTAGACAGGAAAGGTGGATATTCCTTTCTCAACCTATTTTTACCTTACCCAATTTAATAACCAAAGAAATATGTGGTTTTGACACAAAAACATTAATACAAGAGATCGGAGACAACTACTAAGATACATTGTTTATCAGTACAAAATATTCCTTGAGATTATTTTTTAGAAGGTTTAAACTGCAGAAAATGGTGCTCCCAAATATAAGAGCATTGGTTTTTTATCCCTCTCATGGCAGTCTGAACTTTGAATTGCTGGTGTATGTTAAAAATCCGATTGAAAATTACCCAAGTTTGAAAGTATCTATTAATTCAATCCATTGCTAGACTGTGGGTAAATTGGCACTTCTTACTTCGTGCTAATGCAAAAATGGAGAATGGCTTCATTAGAAGTTGTTGACCTATTTCACATGGAATGTTACATTTGTTGCAAAGACAGATCTTTTCCGAACTTTTCTGATTCTGTCTTGAGTACAGCTGTGTCTTCGTGCAGCTAAAGAGAGAGTAGAGGCCTGGTCTGGCAAAATGCTTGTCATTGCCTGCTTCCTTATTGCCTTTGACCAGGTCCATTTAGTGACTGCTACTGATTTTTCATGCACCTGTGAAGGATGGTTTCTCAGTAGTGATTGTGAAACCATCTATTTGTCATATTCTGTAGTTCTTTATGAAATTCACGAGTACATGATCAAAATTTGAGTGTTGATTTCATTTTGAGCCTTTTTGTTTCAGGGACCTGAAACTGGACAATATTCTTCTGGATGCAGAAGGCCACTGTAAACTGGCTGACTTTGGGATGTGCAAAGAAGGGATTCTGAATGGAGTGACCACCACAACCTTTTGTGGCACACCTGACTATATAGCTCCAGAGGTATTTTTTTTACTGCACTAAGAATACAGATATTATCATTCATCAGATTGTTACACATGTAATCTTGGACACTTCTTCCATGTAGCTGAAAACAGTATAACATGCAGACTGGACTGTGATTAAACTTGCAGAAATTGGTTCCTCTACTTCTCACAAGCAGTATTCCATGTTGATAGGAATGGCAAAGCATCATTTTTCTGTTATTTGTTCCCTGAACTTAACTATATTCTTCTCCATCATTGTGAAGGCACTTACTAACCCTGAAGATCCTATATGGTATTAAGTACCAGCACTGGTCTTTAATAGAGAAATGGTTTCAGTGTTTCATGAGTCTTAGAAGGGGGTGTTCATTTGAGAGAGACAATACATTTTGTATCATTTTGCCTGGGGTCTTTGTGGGTATATAATTTTTTTCCTTTCTTTAAAGTATCTGTGGGTGAAAGATACTGTGTTTGTGGTACTTCTCATTATATGGATGAAGAGAAAGTTTAGACTTGCATAGAAAGTAGGGGCTTTTCATATGGATGCTGCATATCAGATGGCAACATGGAAGTAATTTCAAGGCATTCAATGGATAAAATAAATTACTGAGAATCATATTCGATCTATACATTCTGAATTTTGGTATTATGAAATGTATTTCCAAGTGCCTAAAATGAATCAATATTGTACAGTTAGTTACATAGGCAGATGTTGTCTGCTCAGTTTTGTTAGTAATCTCTGCATCTTTCTGCTGAAGATTGAGTGTGCTGACTTAATGTAAAAGTAGCATTGGTTTGTCTTTCATGAGCCATAAATTTGCAGCAGGGAAAAGTGGTAGTTTGTTATTTGTTAGAGACAATAAATTAAAAATCTGTATGATTAGTGTTCATGGCTGTCAGTCTTTGTTAGCACTCATCTTTAGACTATCATAATGTAAATGTGTGTTTTACAGAGTTTGAAAAGTATTCTGACATTAAAAGAAAATAAGTGCCAGTGTGATGGTTTTGGGTTTGTATGAATTCTTTTCTGATTCAGTATACTAACTGCATCCTTTGGCAAATTCCTTTAAAATTATTACTGAAAATGAAGCAATAATAATTTCCCAGGAAATTCTTCATGAAATCCTTTTCTTACCAAAGTCAGAAACTCAGGCTTCCATTTTGCCATCTTAATTGCAGAATTTTATCTTCTGTTTCTTTTACATCATGTTAGTATGTTTCAATTTCCTTTCCTTTAGCTGAGTTCCAAAGACTGCCCAGAACACTTGAAAAGTACACTTTTTAGGAGTATAATTTTCTGTATTTGTTGTCTATCTTTGTTAGCACTCATCTTTAGACTATCATATCATTCTGTATTTGTTGTCTGTAAAGTGTCATATCCATTCAATTAAAAATTCAGTTGGGATCCAGACCTCTGTATTCAAATGTTGAACTCATTTCTGTTTTTATGTTAGGACTGAATTTGTTTTTATGTTGGTCATGATTCCCAAATACAACACTAAACTCACACAGTTCATCACAGGGCTTCTGACTGTAACACTAGAGTTCTTTAAGCAGATAGTGGAGTTGTTGCCATTCCAACATTTAAGTTGCCATTTTAAGGCAGTCAACTTCACCTTAAACAGCCACCCACTCTGCTTTCCCAAGTCCCCTGTCATGCTGAAACACTGCAGCCAAACAAGAAGCTTCTTTTCAGTGAAGAGGAACCAAGAATTAAACTTGACCTTTGTACAATACTAGTTCTCTAACACCAAGTACAATAAAACTTCATAATGCTAGCCTACTGCTCCCAGCTAAAGGTATTTGCTACAAGGTTGAACTTGTGCCATGTGAAGAGTTGTAGCCAGGTTTTCTGAAAGCAGGAGCAATTAAAATAAGTCCTACAGCCATGTATTGTACAGTGTTATAAAGCTGTAAAAAGAACTTGAACAAAAATGCTTTTGGCTTCCTCCAGTCCTACCTAAAGGACTAGAATAAATCTCTGAGATGATTGCAGCATTACAAGCTAGTTCAGTTTGTTTTGTTCAAGATAGAGACAAGGAAATGTTTCACATTTTCCAACAATCTGTTTTGTATATGTGAACTATCTTCCCCTATAGCGTGACCTGCTTTAAACAGTCTGGAAGGATATGCAGCTCTTTTGCTCATGAGCATACTCTTTTACTCAGGGGACTGATAAATTCAGTCAGGACTTCTGAGAATAACTATGCATTGACACTTAGCTGTGTTAGTGCAAATTGCATGGATAAGAAATCATGCCTGCTGTTACCAAAATCAGTGTGGGATTTGGTCTTAGTCAGGCACTGGGGGGAAGGAGGGGTGTATAAAACAGCAAATGTGCAGCCGAGAGTGTTGCTCTAACTTTATTCAGTCTAATCTCTTTTTCTGTACCAGATCCTCCAGGAGTTGGAATATGGCCCATCAGTAGACTGGTGGGCTCTGGGTGTTCTCATGTACGAAATGATGGCTGGGCAGCCCCCCTTTGAAGCTGACAATGAAGATGATCTCTTTGAATCCATCCTTCACGATGATGTCTTGTATCCAGTCTGGCTCAGTAAAGAAGCTGTCAGCATTTTAAAAGCAGTGAGTTTTCCATTACTTGTTTTTCTCCTCCTCTTCATGGTGTGGGTTTTTTATTGTTGTTTGGGGTTTTTTTTCCCTTGATTAAAATTGAATTTGCTGAAAGCTGTTGAGAGCAGTCACCGCTGGGAGTTCAAGCACAGTTCAGAGTGCCACTGTTAGGATAATGGGGCCTGGGATAAATTACACCGCTTGTGGGAAAGGAACAAAATGTTTGTATTCCACGCACTTGTACACTGTATAAATCTGTGTATCACAGATTCATGTTTCAGGGAAAACCCAACCAGCTAGAACTGTGCTATCACTTTGACACTTTATATGCTGTGTGTTGACTGGAGTGGGGGAAGCACTACGTAATTAAAGAAACCATGCTTTTATTTAACCCACTTACAAAATTTCCTGTCCCTCTGCCTTTCTTCCTCTATTGTCAAGATTGGTTAAAGCACAGTATTTACAGCTGCAGGATCTGTTTTATAGTTTACATAACACTTTGATAAGCAGTCTTAATCTCATGCAACTGGTTCTGCCCTGGTTGGAGTTTTTTTAATATGAGCAACCTGACAGAAATCTGTGCAACCAAGTGCCACAATTTTTTTAATCAGTCAAACTGTGCTGCTGGGCAACTTCAGTTTTTAGACTAACTTTCTAAATTCAGGTTTATTTCATTAACATGACACTGACAGAAATTATTTATTCTATACTAGTATCACCCTAAAATAAAAAGCAAAACAAAACATAAGCAGTATGCCAATCTCCAATTTGAAAATCTGAGGAGGATTTCCGGCTTTTTAAAAAAACAACTTTTTTTAAAAAAAACTTTTTTGTAATTCTAGTTTTCAGCCTCCTTTGAAAGTGGTAAACTTCTGCCTCTCCACTTCTGTTTTCCTTTCAACATGTGGAATAAGGGAAACTTTTAATTAAGAGAGCAGCTGGCCATGTAAAGTCCTGCAGAGATCTTCATACACAGTTACATTTTGGAATTACATCTAAAACTTGAACAAATTCTGATTTTAACACAAATGGACAGGTAACACATTCTGCAGAAATGCTTATCTTGATCTGCTAAAAATATCTCTAGGCACATTGTAGTTGAGAGATACATGCTCTAGCAGATGATTCAAAGCAGAAGTCAAAGTTAACCTTTATGAATTGTTTGCTGCAGTACCTCTTTTGCTCCATTCACTGCAGTGAGAACATTGGAGGATTTATTAAAGTTGACCTTTATGCATATTTTCCCCTTTCCCCCCAGATACCTCTGTGATGTTATGTTATTAGCTGACATGATACTTCAATGCACCCATTTTTGTTCTCAGACCCTTCAGTCCTCTTCAGTGCAGCAATTAAAATGTATGGATGTGCTGCAGAATTCAGGCTGATATCCAGGGTTCAGGGGTTATTTTGGTGTATTGTAGAGAAAGGGTTGTTGTCAATGTTCATATCTGCATCTGAATTTCACTGAAGACCGGAAGAGTTTCTGTAGTGTTTTGGTTTCAATATATAAGATCTGTTCCTTTACCATCCACAGGCTCCTTGAGTAAATCCATGTTAACTGACTTTTCTGTTACTTTGCATCATGGAAAACATTTGTTGAGGGGAAAAGTTAACTAATAACTCTTGGTTAAATGTGTAGTACAAAAGCCATTGTTAACTATTAGGAGAAGGTGTTTGTTTTACAGAGGAAAGGAAGAAACAGATTTGACAGTCAGAGCTTTACTGTTACCTCATTTGTGGTGCACATACCGAGATGTCTAACTGTTAATGTTATACATGTCTATACAAATGCAGGCACAGAACTGGGCTGCAGGTGTAAAGTATGTAGTATTGTCAATGTGAGTGCATGGGTGTTAAACCCTCTAATGTCTTTTAAAATTGAATTTGCTATAATTTTCCTAAGGCTGTTTTCCTGGGTAAGCTATTTGATAAGTTGGCATGATTGGTAGTTCGCTGTAGTTGTAGCTTTTATGTTTTTACATCTTTTTCTAAAGTTAATCCTTGATGTCATTATAAGCCTTAAAAAGAGAATTGCATCCATTAAATAGATTTGCCTATAATAATAGATTATTCCTCACTGGGCAAGGTGTCTTAATTGGCATAAATTGGTAGAATTTGATGGAGCTATGCCAGTCTACACCATAAAAAGAAAACATTTCCTTACATTTAGCAACCTGCTTGCCTATGTAGCTATGGTGTGAAACCTGTTTGAAACTTGTGTTCTTCATCTGATCCTTGTCCACACTCTGTTAAATGAAGAACAGGAAAAACAGAGGGAAGAAAGGGGCGTCTATGTATTTTATTGCTGAATGGTAGCAAGGGATTAACTTTGGAACACTTCGTTTCCTCACATTGTGCTTTGGGACATGGGTTTTATTCTTTAGAAACTGTATTTTTACACTCCTCCAAAGAGCATGTAAGGAAAATTTAATAAGAATATGTTCCCTTGTATTAAGTAACAATGTTTTCTTATTTTCTGAAGAAATAATTTTTCTGGTATTTTCAAAAAAAACACTTAGGAGGATAATTTTACAGCTCAGTATTGCGAGGCAGCAGTTGCTTATCCCATGAAATCCCACAGATCTTATTAGGCCTGTTTCTGTGAATTGACAGGAATTGCTATTTAAAATTCTTTCCTGTCTGGTAAGGAAAACAATTCTTCATTGAAACTGGCTCTGTGCTTCTTTGCAAGCAATGGAGAGAGCTTCTCTATAATGTGTGTTCCCTGTGTACCCAGATGCCAGAGATCTCTGTGAACAGCATCAGGACTCTTTTTTTTTCAGCTGTACCATTTATGTTAAGAAGTGAAATTCTGGAAGCCTGATGATCCTTGATTCAGGCCCCAAGATGCATTGCTATCTCAGCAAACTTTTGTCCTGTTGTCATTTAAGTCAGTAGGAACTCTGATCTTAAAAGGCTTCTCTTTTCATAAAAGGAGGTTCCTGCCTTAATATAGGAAAATAAAAAGGCAATACTTAGAGCTATGACTGTCAGCTCCATTGGCAACCATCTCGTCAACACAGTACGGTTAACAGCTGTCTCTGCCCTGACAGTTGCATCATTGTTGATGCTGTTGATAACAGGGAATAAATGTCAGCTTGTGCTTTGGAAATAGAAGGTGAAAAAAATCAGTATTTATTGCAAGAGGTGAAATTTATAGAATTAAATGTCCATCTCAGAAGTCTGAGATTATTTCATCATAATTGCATATGATAACTTTGGTTTTTTTAAGTATTCATTCATACGTTTGTTTTCCCTCATCATCCATTTCCCACTTTCATGAAGTTTGTGCAGTACAGCACTAAACTCTACTATCTAGTAATATTTTCCTGTCCTGGGCTTAAAAATGACATGTTCTAATGTTTTTCCTGTCTCTGGCATAAAGCAAAGATAGAGCTTTGCAAATACTAGGATCAAATTTAACTTCTTTCATAGCTGGATTATACACTACAAAAAGCGTATCCTGTAATTTCTGTGTTCAGTTTCTGCAAAATGTGTGGCTGCTGGTTCCTGGCCTGCTTGCTGCAGTCCTGGAGGTGAAATAAAGCAGAGGAACGTAGGAATGTGTTTTGTGGTAATCCAAGAGACTTCACCAAAGCACAGTAATCCTTTCAAAACCTTTGTTTCTCCTGCCCATAGAAAATATGGCCTGTAGTTTAGATATGACTTGTCCACTTGCAAAAGAACTTGCAGAGTAGCTGAACACAAGACCAAAGAGAAGGATTGTCTTTGGAGTGACACATATATGTCAGAAACCACAGAGAGAATTGCCTTGCTGATGTATGTTATATCTTTAAAATGATAGCAATGGTATTCTCCTGTAGCTGGTTGATCTAGCTATCAAAAACCACCCTAAGAGCTTCAATAGCAACTCATCTAATAACTGGAGTACTAAGCAAGGATATGTGATCATAGTGAGGGGTTTTTTTTGGTAAGTTGTTTTTTTTTCTACAGTTGTATAGTATAAATTCCCTAGGTTAAAAAGGCACTGAACAATTATCATATTATATTTTGTTTCATTTGTAGACTTACTAAATTTAAAACATGTAATAGTGGCCAAATATGAAGTTACAGCAAAGCTTGGGGTAATTCTCTGAGTATGCGTGTATGTATAAGAACAGCATTCATTGCTACTTCAATTGCAAGGATTCTGTTTCCACATGCCTTAGGAAATAAGTAGAGGGGTTGCTAATAAAAGAAGAAATAACAGAGTAAAATCAGCAACATTTGATATCAGTGTCTTACATTCATGGTACAGCTTTTTGCTGAAAGGAGTAGAAAGAATTTAAAAGTGAGAAGTTTAGAAATTACCACACTTAGTTCCAGTTGCTGCTGCTGATAATGTACTAAAGGTGAAAGTGAAGGTGCAAGTTATGTCTTGAAGTTTCTCAAGGAAAGTTTTCTGTTGGTGTGGATCACTCCATGTATTTCCTGAAATGAATAGACAGAAAACTTAAAAGTCACATAGCTGCAGGTGCTATTCTTACTTGTATTAGAATAAAATCCTAGAAAGTAGTAAGGGGGTTAAGATTTTTCATGTGTCTGCTGGAATGGAGTGGGAACTCCATCTGGGGAACAACCTCATGTCCCAGTACAGGTTGGGGGCTGACCTGCTGGAGAGCAGTGTAGGAGAAAGGGACCTGGGGGTCCAGGTGGACAGGAGGATGACCATGAGCCAGCAATGTGCCCTTGTAGCCAGGAAGGCAAATGTCATCCTGGAGTGTATTAGAAAGGGTGTGGTTAGTCAGTCAAGAGAGGTTCTCCTCCCCCTCTATTCTGCCTTGGTGAGGCCACATCTGGAATATTGTGTCCAGTTCTGAGCCCCTCATTTCAAGGACAGGGAACTGCTTTAAAAAGTCCAGTGCAGAGCCACAAAGATGATTAAGGGAGTGGAACATCTCCCTTATGAGGAAAGTCTGAGGGAGTCTCTTTAGCTTGGAGAAAAGGAGACTGAGGGGTGACCTCATCAATGTTTACAAATACGTAAAGGGTGAGTGTCAGGGAGATGGAGTGAGTTTTTTTTCAGTGATGTCCAGTGCTAGGACAAGGGGCAATGGGTGCAAACTGGAACACAGGAGGTTCCATGTAAACATCAGAAAAAACTTCTTTACTGTAAGAGTGACAGAGCACTGGAACAGGTTGTCCAGAGAGGCTGTGGAGTCTCCTTCGCTGGAGACATTCAAGCCCCACCTGGACACGTTCCTATGTGATGTGCTCTAGGTGACCCTGCTCTGTCAGAGGGGTTGGACTGGATGGTCTTTCAAGGTCCCTTCAGACCCCTAAGATTCTTTGATTATGCAACCCACATACCCGAAGAAATAAACAACAGTAAGCATAATACATAGCTCCTGTCCCCCAAATTAATAGTTAAGATAATGCAAATAAGATTAAATAAGACTGGCCATCTCCTGGCCATCTATTTGGAAGCATCTTTGGAGGTTATAATATTTTCTTTCTCTCCATTAGAATATTTGGAACTAGAAATGCTGAAAGGGAATCTGTTCCTGTAGCACTCCCAGCAAGGTGTAATTAGGAGGTCTCAGCAATTAGTTGAAAGAGCTTCCTGCAAGAAACTTACACTCAAGAGTCTCTGAGTCTTCTAGTTTGGCTGGAACCTCTGAAATTTGGAGGGGCATCCTTGTCACTCTTACAGAAAAAATAATCTTCTGAAAGGGGACTGTTTCTAAAAACTAGGCATTAAGAGTCAGAATGTGCAACTGAACTGCAAGTGGTTTCCAGTTGTTGCCATTCATGTTTTAACTTTTTCCTTCTCTCCCTCCCCCACCCTGTAGTTCATGACAAAAAACCCAAATAAGCGGCTTGGCTGTGTGGCATCACAGAATGGGGAAGACGCGATTAAGCAGCATCCATTTTTCAAGGAAATTGACTGGGTTCTTCTCGAACAAAGGAAAATCAAACCACCCTTCAAACCTCGGATTGTAAGTAGCAGTTTGCCTAACGTTCAGAGGAAACTTGTCTTGACAATTGTAGTTGTTGGCTTTCTTGAGACATGAGATTGCTAGATGCAACATTTGGGGGTTGAAATAGTAACATGAAAACCATGCTGAAAAGATCACCTTGTCATTGTTTCTGTGAAGGTAAGTGTCAGGCCCAGAAAGATGTTGAAGTTCAGTCACATAAAGCATGTCAGGGTTTGAAGCCATGTTTTAATTATTTTCCTGTGTTCCTAAAGATACCTTGATCAGAAGAGATTATTTCAGTTAGGTATCTACGGTCTGTACTTTCTGTGTGAACTCTGCTCAAGTCCTGCACTGCTGTTGGCCACTGGATTTTGTAGTGAAAGATGGAGAAAACAATTTCTGATTAATAATATTTTAACTGAAGATACTTGAAAAAATGTTTTGCAACCTCACATGCAGAAACTACAAAAGGCAAGCAAAAAATACTTATTCTTGTCTTCTGATGAGTTAAAATATTTACAGTTCACCAAATGTCAGCTTTTCAGCTGAGATTGTGCAGTAAATTTTGTGCTTGAACAGTGCAGGAGAATTTTGTGATAAATCCTCTGAGATTGATTTGTCTTTTGACTTTGCACATTCCTAGCTACAGCGTTTTATTTGCCTGTAAATATGATCAAAGCACTTGTTTGTGTCTTTAGATAGTTTTAACAGGTTTTTAAAAAACAAACAAACAAACAACTGGGGGAAAAAACCCTATGAGTTCAAAATGGAAATTAAATTTAGAGGTGAAAAAGTCCCCTCTGTCATTGCAGTGTTGCTGTCTGTCACATTTAGTGCATTTACTGTTAGTACAGTGAGGTGCATTTCCCAATGTTCCATGTGTAGGTGATGGAAGCAGGGCTGCCTGTCCAGAACAGGAGCTGGAGGTATCCCCTCTGATCTCACTCTTGGTGAAGTGTGTCTCTCTGTAGCTATGTAAAAAGAGCCCAAAGGGATTGACAACTCTAATTGAAAGTTAGCCCTTGCGAATGTCTTTCTAGGATTAAGTTGTAGTGTTATCATATGGGGAAGTTTTCTTCATGTACTTCTTGGAGAATGGAAACGTTGTCATGTGGTAGCTACAGGCAGAGAGATGCCTGAGCCAGCCCCTCTCCTGGGAAGCATCCAGCCAGCTGGGCATGCCTTTCTCCCTCACCCTGCTGCCCAGCTGTGCTCTGGAGTTGTGGCCAGGCTGCACCTGGTGCCTGAGCTTGCTTACAAGTCCCTGCACTGCTGAAGATCTGTAGCTACTCCTTTATTTTCTCACTGAAACCTCTGTAATAGTGTAACTAACTGCTTTCCAATCAGGTTCCACAGCTCTCAGATAGTTGCAGTGAGCATTAGTCAGAATATATCTGGGGTGTGTGTTGCTCTTTTCCTATTCTCACCAGAATTCAGCCATTCAACTCACAGTAATTTTCATTGCTTTGCACAGTGTTCACCAACATTTTGGTAATACAGTTACCAAATCAGAATACACAATTCCAAAATAGTTTTAACTCTATGCCCGTATCCAGTAAGTCCTCTATTCCTCACATCTAGTCTATTTATTGGCTGTTTTCCTTTCATGATCAAGATGCACAGTCCCTTTGACAATAGGTATTTTTATGAGGCCTTTATTATTTTTGTAAGCTTTCCTGCTGTGGCAGACCTTCTTAAAAGTCAGGAGGGATTTAGGATATGAGACATTTTTCATTCATTGCTCATATAGATACCTTCTACCTTCTCAGTGCAACATCTTTCTCTTTCTGGTAATTATTTTGTTGCTGTTCTATTGTAAAGCCATTCCTATTTTTTCATTGTTTTGTTCCTTTTCTCTTTTTCTGCTTCCTTTAATGGTGTTTTAGTTGAATATTTAAGATTTAGTAGTGATTTCAGAGTAGTCCATAGTATAATTTTCAAGACAGCTGCTTGCTCTTTAATTATTGTTAGGGTGATTTTATACATCTTTATTTACACTTTTTCTGTTTTTCTTCAGGTTGCTTCTATAATGTTGGATTTTCATACTACTGCTTCCATATTGTATACACCAGCTTTCTTTACCAAATTTGATTCCTGCAGTCTATTAGTTCTGTATGCTTGTTTTTTTCTAAACCATTTTTTAATGGTGGTGAATTTAGATACTATGTAATAGGCATGCCTATTATTTTCATGTTCTTGGTCTGCTCTCTCTACCTCGTCTTCCCCAGTGTCCTGATCCTATCAACTTTTACTGATAACTTTTCTACACTTAGAAAGGGTACACCTAATACAGTCACTATGTGTGTGATCCATCAGCTGTTTTGTAACAGCTATATAAATTTTGCATTTTAAAAAAAATTTTGTTGTTGTGTAGAAATCTTTGAGCAACAACATCATCCTGAAACTTTTACTTGTCCCCTTAAAATGGAACAACTGAATAGTTGGAAATTGTGATACATATCTAGGCTGGAGAGAAAGATCACAGAAATGAACTGCAATTCTTAATTATGCCACTTCAGAAATGGTAAAGGAATCTGGGGCAGTAAATGTCAAATGCTGAAAAGGTACTTTTGGATACTTGCCAAATAAGACGAGATTGCACTGTATTTGAAAAATACAAAGAGGGGAAAAGGTGAACACTAATGAAATAAAGGCTACTGTAACGTCTACATAGAGAGTTCCTCTCAAAATTTGGTTGTGAGCGTAGCATTGAGATTCACTGGTTCAGTTAACAAGTGTAACTGTTCCATAATTTAAGGAATAACTGGAAAAAGCATAACTAATACCTATGTTTGGAATGTTTTTTGGTTTTTAATATCTTTCAGTATTGGTAAAGGGCTGTTGGCTATTTAAAAGTGTCTTCTAATGTTAAAAGGGGATTAAAAATATATTTCTAATCTTACATTTAGGAGACCCAAGATCTGTGAAAATAGCTATGAGAAGAGAGGCCAGATTATTAGTCAGAAAATAGACATTCTTGCATGTGATTTGTGTGTGTATAAATGTGTAGGG